CTCTATTTGTTTAAATTTAAATAGATCTTTAAGAATAGCTCATTTGGGCTTCTTTCCAAGCTCTGCAAATTCAGTGTACAGTAAATCATTGGAACATTTGCTAATAGGACAATAGAATGAATTAGTTTTTAATTGAGCAAAATAACTTTTTAACCAAATTCATATGTTCATGCTTTCTCTTATGCTAGATTTGGATATTTTAATCAAATCAAATTTTTTTTCAAATTCTTCTCCAGCAATAAAGGTGAGGGAAAAAAATTACTGGTTGGATAAATTCGTCTTTCCCATATTTTACTTTTGGGTTTCAAGAGAAAACACAAAATACAAGAGACACAATAAGAACGTGAAACATAACACTACTAACTTTCCTCAGGTCCCTCATGATTTTAACTTGCATGCAATTCCTTAAATACTGTTTGCCATATCCATATGAAAAAAAAAAAAAACAGACAGGCTTCTCTGTAACCTTATATACGTCAGCAGCTGTGAGCCTTTAGCATACTTCATTCTTTTTTTCTTCATTTCTTTTATTCTGGGTACAGGGGCTGGTGTGCTGTTGCAGGACTGTAAAAACACCTGGTCTGCCTGGGGTATAATTGCTCTCAGCACAGGGAATACAAGCTGGTTTTTTTTTTTTTTTTGGAGGATTTCTAACACAGAGGGCATATTGGGCAGGACAGAAATTCAGTCAGCTTTTAAGAGTGTTGTTGCTATAGAGCAATCATTAACATCCCACAGTGGGTGCAAACACTAAAAGTCAGAGGTGCTCTTATGCTTCTCCTAATGTATTTGATTCTGCCAAGACTCCTTCAGTAACAGAGAACCTCATGTACAGTCTCTAACATACTACTTGTTGTGTTAGCATGTATTTTGGGCATCAACTCAAAGAAACGCAACAAATGGCCTGCTTATAGGATCTTGCTGGCATATATTTTGTATGTGCTAGGGACTTGAGAAAACTCATGAGCTGAGGGAATGGGAATGAAGATGCAAAAAAGCAGGCGCAGAGGTGGGTAGCAACATGGCATAAGTGGCTGAAAGTTTATCAAATGGAGGTTAAGAGCAGCAATTGAGCTCTGCTAGATGTAGTTCTTGGCTTTTTGTGAATCAAATTCATTTCTTCTAGAAACTATTTCTTAACTGCTAATTTTGAGCTTCTGTAGGAAGATGTAAGAACACAGAAAAAAACTTAGTTTAACTCTTCTAATAAACAGGAAAAATTATTATGGAATACTGCAAATGAAAGTGTGAGTCATACAAAATCTATTAAGTACAGAGGTCCATTACTGACTAGGGAAGTAGAGGCTAACACAATGAAGTAAAACAAAGAGTATTTGATTGTTTATTGTTTGCTTATTGTGGTTGTAGAGACTGTTAATCTTAACATGGGACATTTGCTTTATTTTTAATGCATTCTTCCATTTTAACTTATATGAGCTTGTATTCAATATGATACAGATTAAATTTGTCAAACCAATTTGTGAACCATGTGATTTTATTTTTTAGCAGTTCACTAGGGGTAAAGTGAATCCTAGAGTACTAGAAAAGTCCAAAGTGGAAAAGCAGTCCTGAGAAATTATAGATAAGTATTCCTGGGTTTGATTCCTTGAAAGTGTTAGAACAAACAGTATTCCTAAACACAGATATGCTATTTGTAGGGGAACTCATGGTGATGAAGATTGTAATTGGGTGAGGACATAGGACAAAGAACATTAGAAATATTGAATGAGAATGTGATAAAAATGATCTTCCAAATTGTCAGATGTATCTGGTTCCAGTAATCGTATTTGACAAGATATCTGGCCTGGCAGATAAGAGAAGCAATAGATGTTGATGCAACTGGATTCCGGTAAAATTTTGGACTCTGCCCTACGAGAAGTCTTGCCCTACCCCTGTGTTTCCTGAATTGTGGTCTGCTGACCACTGGTCTGTATGTGGCTTCTTCAGAAGAGAATCATAAATGTTGTTTTTCTTACGCAGTTTTCAGCAGAGCTTTGAGGTAGCAGCCTGAGAAACTGAATGTTAACAATGATCCATTGGTGCAGAAAGTATGGGAATCACTTGTTGAAATAACAGTAAGTGGCTTTAGTAGTGATAATGGATTACTGATGACTATAGAATAAACTAAGACTGCACCTCAAATGAGGTCCTGCAGAGGTCTCCCTTGGCTTGGATCGCCAATATGTTCAAGAATAACTTGCTCAGTGGAATAGAAGGTACATTTAGAAAACACTTAAGTCATACCAACTACTTTAAAAGACAATTAAAATGCAAAGTGATCTTGAAAAATTTGAGTTTCTGAAGTCAACAATGTGAAATTTGTTAGACAAATGTAGAATTATGTTGATGAGGGAAGATCATAATTGCATATAAGTACAAAACTGGGCAAAATTGACTAGACAGAGGCATGGGAGAAAATTATCTAAGGTTAATGAACATTGAAGTATAAGAATTGAAATTATTTTAGGGGAAGAAAAAGCTAGAATGTGTTAATAGGAATGTGGTTTGTAAGATAATTGTTCTGAGTAGCTTATCCTTGGTGGGGTCTCAGTTGGCATACTGCCTTGTCTAGGCATCCTGCTTTAAGAAGTGGAAATTGGATTGTCCAAGAGAGATAACAAGAATAGTCAAGAGTTTTGGAAAGCATACCTATGCAAGAAGATTGAAGGCATTAATACATATGGTTTGAAAAGTAAAGACTGTGAGGGAAGGTGTTACCTTGGAAAAATTTATAAGGGCTCTTTATAAGAAGAGAATCTTCTGGGAATAGCTCAAAAAAAATTGGCTTAATTTTTAATAGAATGCATTGTGGTTAGGTCAGCAGTATCTCAGCTAGAAGCCACACTTCTAAATGGAGTCCTGACAATATTAATATGGTTGCAAGCTTGAGAGTAATAAAGATTTCTCCTTCTATTTTCTTGGAGTCATGAGTTATTTTGTTTTCGTCTTTATCCAAATTATCCTATGTCTTATTAAAAGAGAATTGACTCAAATTATAGTGATCCAACATCATATGAATAATGAAGTGATGTCAGAGCTGGTAGTTAATAAAATATTTAAGGCTGCTGTCTTTCTTGGAAGACAGATAATGTAGTTGTAGTCGTCTTGTATCGGTAGAAAGAGAGCTTTCAAGTCAGGTGCACTGTATTGTGCTTTTGCCTTTTCAGTGGAATGGGATGCACATGTAAAGATTGAGTAGCATGTGGGAAGTGTAGTTGGGGAGAAAAGCAAGTTAGATGCTGTATGTGTAAGACTGCTGAGATTTTTGATATTAAGCACAAAATGTGGAAGAAACACAAGATTTCATAATGATTCAAGAGTGAACTCTTATCACTTCTAACTGCTTTGTAGCCTAGTCCAGTCTTAGTGAATGTTGCTTAATTTTTAATTTCCTGTGATTCACAATTTGTGTATGCATTCACAAGTACCTTTCATCTTTATTTTTTCTCCCCAAGGATTGAGTCAGGCTTCATGATATATCTTTGTTTTTTTGAGCTTGAAATACTAAATTACTTTAGGAATATATCTTTCTTCCAAACAGTTTAGCCACAATGAAACATAAACATTTTTGTTAAAGAACTTTGATTTGCTTGTTTTCATAATTTCTGCTTGCTCCTAAATCATCTTTGGTCTTTGCAATTTTATAAGGATTTCAAATATGTTGAATTATAGTACTTGAAACCAATTTTAATTAGTTGAGGAAATGAAAGCCAACAACTTTGTCATAATTCCATTATATAGCTTTGTTTATAAGGATCCAAAATAATCAGCCTTTGATCTTTACTGTGCAGTTTCTTTTCTTTCAATATGTATATTACAATTCAGTCTTCAGTCTGAATTTTCTGGGTTTATATAAATTTTAAACCCAATGCTATATGTTTGCACTATAGTTGTCAGAATGCTACTATATAGTCTTAATGCTATCTGCTTGTAATATTTTTAAAAAAAAATTTTGTAGTTATAATTTCCAGGGTGTGTGAAAATAATGAAAGAAAACAAAACCCTGAAAATAACTATAAAATAATATTTCATATTGCAGAAACAGTTCAGTAATGGCTAAATGCCAGGATTATTGTGTTCTGATAGGCAGGGGGTTGTCTCATGTTATTGATGTTAGCCAGCTAAAATGGAAGGCTTGTTCTGTGTGTATACTCAACTGGTTATAATAGATTATGAAGAATTGCATCTGTGTTTGTCACTTATATCCATTTAAGTGTATAAATGTAAACTCAAACATTTTCCATAAATTTTTGCTATAAAACCTAACAATGTATACATAACAATCCTTTTTTTTTTTTTTTTTGGTGGAAAGTACCTTTATAGAGTGAGATGATGAGATGATCAGGATTGAGTTTCTGTGGGAGATGGGTTGTGGACCAGCAGCTTGCTGACCAGGTAGAGTCCACCAGAACAATATGCAAGGGCAAGAAAGAATTTTTTCTGAAGGCTTCTTACATGTAGGCTGAGATCAGTTGAGCAGGAGATCTAGAGGGCTTCCCAGAAGGGTTCGTGGCCCCCTGTCATCATAAGGCTGGACCTACATGTGTCACCTGATCGATCCTACCACATGGAATTTGTGCTGTGTTTGGTCACGCAGCAAGAAACTGCGGATTTCCATGATGTAATGCACCTTGTTGGCCATGTTAGTGGTGAGGAAGAAAGGGGACGGATTTTCTCACGTGCCTTATAGTGCTTCTGTAAGAGGTGAGGTGACTTAACCTGCAAAAAATTAGTAATACCACTACCTTAGACTACCAGATGATAAATTTAAAGGCTGTGTTCACCTGTAATCAGTGCCTTCCAGAGTAGGGCTTCCATAGTTACCTACTGTACTAAATCTGAAATTGTTACTTGTCTCCTCTCGTTCTTTCACCTCAGGTGTTTAGTGTAGTGTTTTAAATTGGTAAACCCTTGGTAACGTTTTAGAGATGAAAATGCATTTTGTTGGATTTTAAATCCATTTTGTTTACCTTTGTTTTATAGAATTTTTTTTTTTTCCAGTTTAACTTTGTTGGAAGAATCCTTGGACCCAGAGGACTAACAGCTAAACAGCTTGAGGCAGAAACAGGATGCAAGATAATGGTCCGAGGGAAGGGCTCAATGAGGGACAAAAAGAAGGTAAGCTCTTGAAAGGTAGTATAGTTTCAGATGCATAGTCATCTTTCCTAATGCAAAGGAAAAGGGAATGTTCCCCCTGCCTCCCCACCACTAGTGTTCTCATTATAAGCTTCTTCAGTATTGGTATTTACAGATTTACTGGCTAACACTTGCAGCCTGTCTTAAAGAAAGTAAATGTTCATGGCCTATAATGGAGCAATTGGGAGTCTAACTAGCAATTATAAAGTATTTTTCAGTAGTAAACTAACTTCTAATTGTATCACGTTTCACAAAGTAAAGGTGAAGCTGAAGTTAAATATGTTTTATAAGAAAGGATTGTTAACCTTACAGGTGTTCTTAAGAGCTTTCTTGCAAAAGCCACTACTTTGGTATTTCAATATGAGTAATGCAGATTAGAAAATGGATTAATGTATTTGTGGCAATGAATTCTGTCTGTGAACCAGAGTGAACCAATGAGTGAACCAACAACTGCCACATTCTGCTTTTATTTTAAGTTGGAGGGCAGTTGAAATGTAATTAAGGCTATCCCTTGCTCTTTACTGCAATACATATGCTCTGTCCATATAAATAGGAAGACTTTTGTTTTCAGGATAGCATCATCCTGAACGTCAAGTCGGCATGATGGTATCTCCTGGAAATCATTGTTTTTTTGCAATTTTACTTTCTAGCCATTTTTTTCTCTTTGGTTACTGCTTGCTAAACTTGTACCTACATCTGCACTTCAGTTTGAAATGTTCACTTAATAGTACTCTTTTCCTTTTTGTTACTGTGTTTCTTCTTTTGGTTCTTTCTTTAGAAAATCCCTTTTTTTTCCTTATCTGATCTGTCACATAATGCGTTCTGTTGGTATGTATATAGCACATAGCAATTAAAATAGAAAGCTAATGCCTACCCAGTTAAAAATCCCAGACTTTACAAAGCTAATGAACGTTCATTGAACTTCATGTTTTGTCACGGCCCTCTTTCTTATCCTACCTATAGCTATTTCTGGTATTTAGGTTGCTGACTTGTGAATAAAGCTCTGTTCTGAACTGTGGAGGATGTTGTGGTTGTCTAGGCTCTATAGAAGTAAGAGGGTGATGTTGTCTTAAATGATGCTTGATTTATGAAGGAGTTAGAGGCATTTCTTTTTTAAAATCATTCTAATTTACATCCTAAATTCCTTCTACGTTCTAGTTTGCATGAACATTTAACATATAGACTAGTCTTGTTATTATGGAGTTTTAAATTGGCAAAAAACGAACTTCTGGAGTTGATATTTTTGTAAAGGATTTTGAAATGTAGGTTCCTATAAGTGGGGGTGGTGTGAGACATTAAAATTTTCGTGAGTATTAAAATTTCAGCATGCTTCAGTTGTCTTATCGAACTGTGTGGGTGTTGATGCTGTATCTTGAAGCAAAGCGTGTGGTTTCCAATATGTGAACAGTCTTAGTTCCATAATTTTACTTACGACTTTTAATAGTATTCATATTTTTAATATATTCTACTATATTGTAAAAAAGAGGCTATTCTAGGGCAGAAGATTTAATGGAAATATTGCATGCCTTTTACAGTTTGCAGACCTAACTTAGTTTTCATTAGAGAAGAGTGTTTCAGCTCTTCTGGAAAGCTGCCACTTTTTAGCTGATAGATTAATTAGAAATGACAACTTCTGATTACACATGCATAATATCAACACCAACAAGTATTCTTTAAAATGTGGAAGATTCCAAAATTTACATTAGAAAGGATGAATTATCAAACTACTAACTTAAAAGGAGAAGTACTAATCCCTTAAAAATTAGAATAGTATAAAGTTCATTCAGCTCTTTGCTATTTAACCATAGTTTTAAAAAATACAGATTGCATTTTTATAGCTAGTACAATTCTTCAATTCTACCCAGAAATGAATATCTGTTTATCACCATCCCCGTTTTATTTTAAGAATGAAAATTCTAGTTCTGGGGTAGTTCAGGAGTTAGGTAATGTAACTTTTACTCTGAATAAAATTGTTAGTTCTGGTTCATTTATGTTCATAGGTATCAGAAGCTAAAACATTTCAGGCATCTATTCTTCAGCAGGCTTCTAAGTGAGCCATTAATTGCCTCCGTTTTCTCATGCAGGGACCCGTTCCCCCATAAATGTTCCATTTGCAGATCCTGTTCTAAAAAGCACCCAGAAGAGTGAAGATTACTTCAGATTTCTGGAAGCTGCTGCATGTGTTTCCTGGAGACCTTGACTTGCACCCACAGGTCCCACCTAGCCCCCAGCTGCTCTTTCTCTTCTCCTTCCTTCCCCTCCCATTCAGACTAGCCTGAACAGAAACCAGTGTGGTCCAGTGAATTCCAGATCAGCTGTGGGAGCCATTCTCCAAAACGTAACTAACTGTGCATTTTGTTAGAGCCTTCATTCTTTGAATGGTTTTCCATTTAATAGGTTCTCACTGAAGATAGGTCTAAGTACTTAAGACTGAAGGCATTCTGTTTCAGTGCTATCTGTAAGGAGGCATCTGTGTTCCACAAGCCAGTGTAGTATATGTGCATACATTATGTCCTGAGTTCAGATGAGAACATTCTCCACTCTTGTTGGTCATCTGCTTGTATTGTGACTTTATCCATTCAACATTCAGCTAGCTCTTTAACTGTAAAAAGTCTATCGTGTTTAAAGCCCGTGATCTCCTTCCACTGTACTTCACAATCCACCCTTTTCTGTGGGCAGGGGTTTGTCTAGTTAGCATGGGCAAGTTTACTGTCTGGGGAAAATATCTTATCCTATAAAAATGGACTTTTTGCACTTTTTTCTCCTTTTTTGTAAAGCTCTTTTCCAAAGAGCGTAAGCTGCTGCATAAGCTACTGGAGTTTTGCCTTTGAGGAAAAGCTTGTAGGAACTGCAGCCTTCTGAGTATGAGTCTGCTGCTTACCTTTACTTGAAGTAAGAAAAGGAAAACTGTCTGCAACAAGGTCTTAGTTTCAAGTGGATCAGATAGCAGGTAGTACACATTTCAGTCACTGACTAAACCAGTTGGTGGCTTTTATGTCTGTGAGTCTTTACTTTAGCACAGTAAGTGTTAAGACATTTTAGATTAATAGGATGTAAGGATGTCTTAAAGCTATTGCTCTGATGTAGAGCTGGAGAAAACAGAAACGCGTTACCTCTTCTGAAACATCCGTTGCCTGATATTTTTAGAGCACAGGGTACTCAACAATTAGTAGTTTCATGAGATAGTACTACAATTAGTATTGAACATGTACCAACAAAATTGCTTGATAGAAATGCCATCCCTTTCTAGTCTTCATGCCATCTATTTCTAGTCTTTCAATAGCTCTTTTACTGTTCTTAGGTTACTTGAATTAGTCACTTGTTTGGTATATTTTTTCAGTCAGTAGACTTTTTGTCAGTGGTACAAAATGTTCTCTGGTATATTATGTGAACTACCATTGTTGCTGCAGTAGCAAACATCACTTAAGCACTGATTACAATGCAATTTATGGTGCATCTCCTACCCCAACTAGAATAGATCTTTTGGACTGTTTTTCTTTTAAATGTAAGAACAATTTGAAGCTTTATTCAAGACACGATGATCACAAGCAAAATAAATTAAGAACCAGTGACACTTACCAGTTTCAGGAGTAAATACACTTCTTGCTAATTGGCCTGTGCCCCTTTTTCCTTATGAATTAACAGTTGCAGATGAACTCCTCGGTCTTGCAGCACAAGACAGCTAACTTTCTTTGGCAGGCAGAAGTATTGTATTCTCTCATGGAAGGTTAGGTTATGCTTTATTTTGGAAAGCCCTGTCATCCCATCTAGAGGCAATGCTCCAAATAAAGAAATAAGGATATTTTTCGGGGTGGTTTTTTTTTGCGTTTGCTTGAATTGCTTTGAAATTTTGAGGAGATTGTAGGTAAAGGTTAATTCCTATGTATGCTTCATAAGTATATTTGATATCTGCAAACCTGGTTGCCCAGTGCTAGTAATAAAAGAAGCTTTACTGGAGGTGCTAAAGAATCAGTTAGCAGACCTGTGTCATTCACTAATGTGACATTTAAATGACACCAAATACCACCTTCTACTGTTAACTGTCCATATCCTTCTCTCTTCCTACCTTGCTAGTGGTTGCAGAATGCAAGAAAAAATATAGAAAGACTGAAAGTGAAACTAAATGTAGGAAAATAAGTTATCTTGATTTACTCTGCAGAAAATTTTCCCCTACTGTGCCAGCCTGTGAACAGAAATAATGAATTAGCAATCTTATGACCAAATCTTCACATGGTCAAGTGACTTGAACTGGCATCAGATCTTGAAACTTACTGACAGCTTTCCCCCAGTAAACAAGGGAAATCCTCAACTCATTTGTGTCTGAGGCTCACCTGATAATCAGAACAAATTTAAAATCAAAACTTTAATTACTGAGAATATCGTGATTAGAACCTGGAGGTATTATGAGTAGGTGGTGGGGGCTCCAAGCATTCTTCAAAGGCTAATGAATCTGTAGCTTTTAAGACTCTGAAGCCATTCTTTGCTTAATCTGATAAATGTACCTGTCACTAGGTAGAGTGGAAAATAGCAATTTTCACACCAATCAAAGAATACTATTTTATAAAAGGGAAGACTAGCTTCTGATAAATAAACAAGAATGTTAAGTTTCTACCTTTCATCTTTGCAACTACTTTCAAACATTGGCAAGCTCACAGGGAGGTGATTCTATTTTCTCTAACATGATCAGCCCTGTTAAGATTATGGGGTGCCAACTCTTTTAAGCATCAACATTTTATTGTCTTGTATTTCCACCTGGGTGTGTTAGCTAGCTTCCTGGTTGCTTTTTTTTCCCCAAAGGTTAAAAGTTTCCTAAGTGACCAGGACTTGAAATCAGAATCAAGTTATATGAGAGAGTATTTCTTAAAATAGCAACCCAAATAAGGGTGGTTACTCATCTGCTTATTTCTTGAGGTTTTGACAGACTAGAGTGTTAGAAGTTTTACATGTCAATATTTGAAAGTTGTTTTTAGCTTGTAATTCCA